GGGGGCATCGTAGGCGATCAAGGTGTGGTCTCGTAATGAAGGGAGGTAGACCAGATCGTGGAGATCTTCTTTGCAAGAGCCGAAGCCATGTAGGAAGAGTATAGCAGGTTTGGGTCCGGGGCGATAAAGGGTAGAGAGCTTGAGGGGATGGTCATTGACCGTCAGAGAGAGGGTCGAGAAAGATGGAGGTGGACTGTCGAGGATCATCATGAACGATATGTGCAAGTAGTATAAGATCGAGGGATTTTAGGTTTGCGCAAGGACTCAAGGGACTGAAACAGGCAGGGTAGGGCGATAGTACTTACTTCTTATATGGCTCCCAAAGGACCTTGGGATGGCACCTGTGTTACTGGTGTAGAGCCCAGCCGGACAGGTCGCATGGTGCTAAAGCGCCCAAAGATGACGAGTGGATCTTTCAGCACCCGATTAGCGCATCGACTAACTGTAACTTCGGTTCCGAGTCACAGCCTGTCATCCACAAGCAAAGAGCCATACAGAACTCCGAAGACGCCAACGGGGGTACAATCCGTAATTGATATGACAAGTGGGAACTAAATGGCTTCACTCCGGTTCGACTAACGGCAAGTGGGGGCGTGAAATGGTCCGTGGCAAGGGACGCCCGGCAGATTCACTGCTAACTCCAGTAGGAGATAGTACAGAGTAAGTAGGCTGTACAGAGTATGCCCAAGGATCGATCATGATTGGTTTTTTCCGAATCATTCATTTGTGACACGGCTGAGCCGGCCATCCTTCAGCTGAAATTCATCCCAGCGAAGCTAGTGGCATGCAGTTAGTCCGAGTGATATCTCACACATTCACTATGTACATCCATGTCGCATCCAGTCCCTTGTCTATTGCCAAAAGTGCGTGCTTTGATTCCTCCGATCCTGTCCGATGCGCTCCGAAGCATAGTTCAGATCTGCCCCTCTACCACTGACGCCGTCGTTATGCACCTTTTCCACGCGCGAAATGCATCCTGCGCCCGAATATCGCCGCCCAAGGGAAAATTCTTCTAGCTGGAAAGTGCCACAGTGCGTGCAATATATGTAGGATGTTCCAGAATCGCCATAGACCATGTGGCAAACGCATAATACAGCCGCATATAGCCCCAAGAAAAACATGCAAATCATTCCAGAATCCCTCAATGTACGACGTATGTAAACTTTCAGGGTTAGAAACACCACAACACCAGACCGATATGGTAGAGTCATTATTCAAAGTAAGTATAAAAAGCCAATGTGCAATATGTATCCAAGAGAGGGGTCTATAGACAAATGAAAAGATCCAGCTCTCATCTCACACCTCGCCCCAGCCTCCCAGGCCAGCTGCAACGGGCGCCACAGCACTCCCGCTGTCCACACTGCCCCCGATATCCCAGTAGTTGCGACTGGAACCGGTAAGCGTCCGGCGGCTGGAAATGGCAGACAACTTGGCACTCTGGCTAGCACAGCTAGAACTGGGGCGACGGTAATGCGGGCGCATGATGGGCGACGACACCCCGGTTGGTCCGGAGTGATGCGAGTACTGCGATTGCCGGCGAATCTGCGCTTGAGAGCGCGAATGCGCTCGGGCAACGAGCGGATGGTGCTGCCGGATGATTGCCGCACGACGAGATGCATCTTGCGGGGCTCTGCGGGGAGCGCTGTGATAAGAGTCGTTGTTGCTGCCCCGGTGGGTAAATCGGTTCCGCAGGTACCGGAAGACCATCCGAATATCCAGCTCTCGCTCCCAATACTCCTTCTCCTGTTGGGCGCGTGCCGATTCAGCCAGCGGCTCAGCCGCGGAATGGCTGGCTGAACGATTGACAATATCGTCATCCTCAATGCCCCATTGCGCCGCATGTTCTCGGCTACTGGGGTCGCCAAGTGTAGGCGAAAAGTGTGGAGAGAGAACCGATTCTGCATGCATAGTTGACTCCAGATTGGTAGGCCCCACCGAGGCAGAAGGTGCGTCGGCCTCTTCCGGGACGCGATCGAGAGGTATGCCAGCATACTGATTCGGGATCTCATGGGACATGTTCAAATAGGTCGTGAACGCACCGGGATGTTCGCACAGCTGGTTGACGAGAATCCCCAGCTCGTGTGCGATGCGTTGCAGCACTTTACTCTGCCAGATAGGGTGGTCTTCCGGCACGGAGTCCAGCTCCTGGTTGAGTGCCTCGATGTTCGATGCATATTCCCTCGCTGAAATTGGCTCGTCATCTTCAGTGGAGGGCAACGACTCCCCGAAAATTACAGATAGCAGCGAATCATCGATCCCGATGAGGTCGCGGATGACCTTGCGGGTGATTCGCTGCAATAGAGACTCGTCCCCGTCTTCTTCTTCCTTTACCGTCGAAGCAGGCTCGGACTCCTTGGAGGTCTCAAGGACTGCATCTGGAACGTCCGAAACTGTCGGATAAGATGCAACGGGGTCGGTGATGCCGCTGGCGCGACTATCACGCCGTCTGCGCGTTGCTTTCTCGATCTTCTGCAGAAGCACCCGGCTTTGTTCCATTCTCCATTTCTCAATGCGCTGCCACCGTTCTCTCTCCATGTCCGCCTCTTCTTCATTTCCGACCATGTCCAACTGGCGCTGGACACTCGAGCGTCGGCGTGGCTGTAGGTCGGGTCTCCGATTGGGATTGTACTGTTCGTGTTGCCACAACTGGTTTTGTACAGCCTGGCTAGAAGCCTGGAAACTGCCTAGTCCATCATGAGCTGGGAGAACCGCAGGAGCCCCTTGGTCTTCTTGAACCAAGGACGGGGCTCGAAAGGCGTGTAATCCATCATCCAGACTATCCAGTTCCGTCCCGTCATCGTCCAACGGCTCATCGAGAGCGTCACCGACATCCTCGCTTTCTGGGCCGATCGCAGATCGAGTTGCCGTGCCAAACGAGCCAAAGTCACTTAAACGTGAAATGCCTTGTGTTCGTGGGGTGCGATCAGTAGAGGTGGTATGCGTGCGGGCGGTGGTGGAGGGTTGTTGGGTCGGCGAGAAGAGCACCCATTCTGTAGCTTCGTTCTCCGGTAGTAACGAGAGGGGCGAGGTGATATCGGGGGCGGGAGAAGGGAGGGAGTTGGAATAGGAAGGGCGTCGACGGGGGACTTGGGGAGGTAGACGAAACGCCATGGGTTGACTTGGCAGATGGCAGCGATGGGGCGATAACAGCAAGAATCGAAGTGGCTGGAGGTTGGGGGAGAGAGGGGAGGGAGAGGCAGATAGCGAGATAAGAACAGTTATCGATCGCGCGGTGGATCTTCCCCGCGTTACCGTGTTCGGAGAGACTGAGATGGGAACAGATGGCAATGAGGCAAGGGAGGGTTAGGCTATATAGCCACGAGCAAGCCTAAATGTCACCAAAAATTGGACAGTCAGGCAGAAGAAGCGTCTCGAGGCCTGCAGGGGGAGAGCAGGGGGGGAAAAAAAAGTAAAGATGGCCAGAAAGGTCCGATAGCGGTTGATGCTGACGCGAGGGCCTCTGCTCGCTGATGAGTCGGAGATGACGTGGGAGGGAGGAGATAAGGCGAAGGTTCAAGCCAGCAAGAAATGCTCCATGGTTCTTTGAAGGAGGGGAGGAGGGGTTTGACACAGGAAATGGTTCCCCTCTTTAATGATGAGAGACAGTTAGTCGAATAGTTGCTATGGGTAGACTAAGTATGGTAGACAGGAAGAACAAGTCAACCGGACGAAATGAACCCGGATGATGCCAGTCACCAGACCGGGTCGGTGGGTGGATAATTGCAGGAAACTCTCTCTCTCTCTCTTACTCTCTCTGAAACAAAACGAGGAAAAAGTTTAAATCCATCGACGGGACAATCTTATCCACAGTTCAAGTCAGAACAAGGATTTCCTTCTTATTCTAGCTTTCTCTTTGTCTACTTTATAAATAAATAATAGTCTTGTCAATAGCTTCCCGTCCCTGACCAGCATCCAGACTAAACACTCTGTAAATACATACAGTAGACAGCTGGGTGGAGGGAGAAAAGAAAGGAGGTGAACGCTGACTATCGAATCCGATCAACTGCATGGTGACGATCGGCTGATCGACGTCTGTCTGCGGGATCTGTCGAGTCTCGATATCACCACTCCATACTCCATATAGAGTACAAGTACGTACTTCCTGTGGGAAGTTTCCTATTGCTGCCACCTCAACCCACCGACCGACACGATGAGAGGTAGATAGTATGTTTCGTACCTCGCGGTGTGTATGTGCATCTCTCTCTCCTGATTTTCGACTGGCTTCTCCACAAATTAAAACAGGTCAAGCCATCGAGGGATCAGCCAGTCAGTGTTGATCACCCCATCACTCTCTCTCCACTGGCTCTGGTCTCAATGACATGTCATCATTCCTCCGTGTTGCCTGCATGGCCCAAGGCGAGGCGAGGCTGGGCTGGGCTGTCAGTCAGTCAGTCAGGGGTTTGCTCGCTTCAGTCCTCGACTGCTGGCTGTGCCCGCTCTTTCAGCTGTGGCGTTTGTCTCGTACTGTGTAGTTTTCAGGCCTCCCCCTCGGGTCTTATCTGCCTGTGTAGTCTTGTAACTTCGGTAGATAATACGATTAGTCTGTCTATCTTATGTTTGTATAGATAAAAGTGAAGAAATATAGATGTTTCATAGTGCTGAGATACTTGCAGGTATGGGTAAGGATGAAATACTTAAGTAAAGGTGGTGCAACTCTCGGTAGGGTAGGACTACCTGAGAGGCTAACCTAGACTCTGGAGAACAATATCAATGGGATTGTACGCTAGTAGTCTGACAGTTGGTATTTGTCAAGTCAACAAATACAAATCAACATCTTACAGAGGATCTACTAGTATTACTACTGGATGGACAATCTCATCAACAGTGGTGTACTACTAGTACATTCGGAATACATTGGTCGATGATAGCACACATGATATCATTTGTATTTCCAGTAGATGATTCCATGAGCAAAACAGGCTATCATTGGGTTGACATCACTCGAAAAGTTGATACAACTACGACGACTCCGTCCTACGGTATCATACTGTGCAACCATGCAAGCCGAGGAAATCCGCGTTAAATAACTCCGCCCCATACGGTGACTAAATGACATCAAGGATAACAAACAGGACATGAAAAGTGGGAATAGTTCAATACGTTTTTTTTTTCTTTCGTGTCCTAAAGCGCTAAACATCCATCTAAGCCTGAGAAACGTTCTCGTAGGCGTCGGGGAAACGCTTCATGTTCTCCTCAACGAGACCGTGGCCACGCAGGAACTGGACGTAGGCACCGTCCTGCTTGAGCTTGCCCTCCTGGCGGAGCTGGACGTAGTCCTCGCGGCGGACGGGAGTGAAACCCCAGTTCTTGGAGACGATGATCTTTTGGCGACCGGGGAACTTGTACATGGAGCGGCGGAGAGCCTCGATGGCAGCAGCACGGTTGGCGTCACGGGTGCGGACGGACAGAATGATCTGGCCAATGTTCACACGGGCAACGGTACCCTGGGGCTTACCGAAGGCACCACGCATACCGGTCTGGAGACGATCGGCACCGGCGCAAGACAACATCTTGTTGATACGGATGACGTGGAAGGGGTGCACACGGACACGGAGGTGGAAACCTTCCTTACCGGCGATCTTCACGAGGTACCTGGATAGATGTGTTAGTGGATGAGGGCTGGGCGTAGTGGAATCGGCGGGTCGGCATACTTGTTGGCACAGATACGGGCGGCTTCGAGGGCCTCGGAGGACAGCTGCTCGTACTCGTTGGAGACGAGGTGAACGCAAAGAGGGAAGTCATCGACGTTGGCCTTCTTACGTCCCAGATCGAAGATACGGATCTTGGGGTCGGGAACACCACGGTTGAACCGGGACTTAGGGTAGGGCTGTCATTCGAGATTCATGTCAGTACTCATTCCCATCCATATCTGGTACACCTTTTTCCCATCCATCGTCAGGCAAAACATGATATCCATCGTCGTGAGCATCTCTTCGTAGCGCGTATCCTCGTTGGTGTTGGTTGACAAATGCTCCCCACAAGACAAAATCCCATCCAAAAAAATCCACAAAAACGCACAAAAATCCATCAAACGGTCGAACGCACCTTGTTCTTGCAGTAGCGGTAACATCTCGCGGGACGACGGGCCATCTTGACTGCTGGAAATGGGGCGGCTGCACTTCCTGCGAACGGTGAGGTTGTCGAAAAAGGTGGTGTCGGGAGGCGAAAGGGAAGGGGGATTATGGGCGCAGGCACTTTCCACGTTGATTTCCAAGCAAGCGCCCGCTACCGAGTGGCACAGCCCTAAACCCTACCCTCTCCGCCAATCACATCCCGTAGACGCTATGACGCATTTGTCAGACTACGGCAACTCCGACATTCTTGAAGTGTTCAGACTGATATATCAGTCTTTCTAAGCTGTGAATGAAACATGTTTTACTGCGGAATGGAATGTGACGACTTTCAACTGCTTTATAATCATCAATATGCCTCAACTTTTATCATGTGACTCATGAAGTGGAGTCGAGCTGCCGCTCTTCCCCGGTTCTTTTAGTGAGGTGACCGTGCTATCTTCCTGATCACTCCTACAATCTTATCCTACAGCATTTAAAACGAAACCCAATATAGATGTAAAGTTCATTGTCATTATCTAAATCGTGCCGTGACGTTGTGCATCATGGCATACCGCCGTTCAGACATAACATGAATTCATTGACCAGGCTTTACACCTACTGGCTGGACAGGATGTCGGAGTCACCAGCATCGAGGATAGCCATGGTGGAGGTACGGAAGAGCTTACCGCAGGCGGTACCGAGCTCAATCTGTTCACGACGATATTAGCGCATATTCCCACGTTACGTTGTGATCTCTATTGTAAGATGTCGTTCCAGAACTACGTCCGGACCCAGCTCCATAGAGATCCCAAACAGACGGATCGTGGTCACTCACGTTGTTTCCGGAGAAGTGGTGGACGGGGGCCTTGGCGAGCATGGCGTAGTACTCGAGCTCACTCTTGCGGAGAGGAGGAGTGTTAGCGGCGATGATGACCAGCTTGGCCTTGCCGGACTGTTGAGATTATTAGTCGACCATTCACGGATGTTCTGCACGGCGATTGCCTGAAATATCCGGTGTACTCACGCGGAGGGTCTTGATGGTGGACTTGTAGCCGAGGGTGACTAGATGGCACGATTAGAGACCGTCTGAAATGTCTGAGCTTGCAAATTCTGATATAACATACCCTTTCCGGACTTCATCACAAGCGCCAGGCGCGAGTTGATGGTGTCACCGGTCTTCTTGCTCTTGGGGGCCATCGTTACGCTGAAGTTAACTAAACTTCTGCATGATCAAATTCAATCAGCATTTGTTCACTCCGCTATTTCAAAGCCCACTGCTGAATGCCACCGCATTTTGGGCATGACAAAAAAATTTTGACCATGATCAAAAACAACGGGCAATCAGCCGTGGCTTGCGGGGAAATACCACATACCTAAAGGTTTAATGTGGTTGTTGAGAGAAGTGCGCTCCGGCCTCGTCTTTTGAGATTGGGATGGTAAAAGAAAACCTATCACCCACTCTTTTTTTGTGGGTTTGACAAATGTCGGGTGACAATTCCTCCGGTCCGCGGTGGCTGACTCATCTTCCCGCTTCCAAGGTTGTGTTTCACGTGATCATATATGAACCCGTACGGTAATGGGCGGTGAGGGTCGCTGCCTGGCGGCCTGATGGCTGCCCCGGTTCCTCCCTCGTTTGCATGTGCACGTGAAGGAGGCAGGACAGTAGTCCATCATCGTTCTAGTTGTCTTTCCGTCTTCGGAATTGATTCTTAGAGTTGACACTCAAATCTCTTGCCTCTGGTGCCTATCAAATGACAAAATGCGACTGAAAGTATGCGTTCTATCAGTAGGAAGAAGCGGAGCTACTATGTAGAGTTTGCCTTTGATGGATGTCGATAGCAGAGGTCGCCGTGAGAGATACATCAATCTGAGGAACTAGAGACTTACTGGTAGTCTACTGAATGCCTTGTGATGTATCCGGATTCGAACTATCTTTATATGGTATATTGTGGTTCCGGGTATATCCTACTTCCTACAATAACACGGACTATTTGTTCACATTATCCCTCACTTCTTTCTCACTAATATTCTATCAACCCTTGACCACTTATGTCAATTATGAGATTGATCTGAATCCGTTGCCCGGACTGCAGCCCGGACATCAGTAAGGAGCCAATTCCCACGTGGTGGGGATCTAAGACCCTATATCTGTTTTTCCTAGAAACCAATATTCGTAGTCTCTGCAGCGCACGATGGATAGCCATTCTCTTTATTTGGCTAACTGTCATGGTCTAATGAGATAGAGTGAGTATTCTCTGGAGAAACTTAGTAGACGGAAATACATCCCGCCATGCATTATACTGCTCAGGCTTTCAACGGTAGCTTGGAACCGGGGAGGAGTTACCATTGGCAGCAGTTGATTGTGCTCATTCGTTCTTGAGTCGGAAGTGATGCTGGCTCTAGCGATCTAGGCCTACTATTATCCTGATGATTTGGCTATGAGTGTTGTTTTATCAGATACATAATAAGTCCCAGTATGAGCATGAGCATGCTAGTGATAGTGTTACTTGTGAACCAGTTATAAGCTCCTATGCATCATTCCATCTCTTCCTATCAGTTGAAGCTACATAGCCTGAGCCAATTCATACCAGGATGGTCGTTTCGTTTTTATACCTATTTGTTGATTGGTGTGGAGCCAGACATAGGGGTCCAGCCGTGCTATGCATGAGAGGCCATATTAACGTGGCATGTAGACACTTGCGCTTTATGATTTTTAGTCTTACTATCCAGATTATAGGTCCATCGGAATATTGCTTTACGGTATGGTCGGTCAGGCAATATACGTAGTAAATTCACAGTGGGTATTATTGGGGTTCTCAGGGGTTGTGGAATAGCATAGTATTTGGGGTACCCTCTTGATATATACTAGCCAGCAGAAGCACACTACTAGGCCTGTCACGTCACGGAGCAAATTCCTTGAAAGGAGAATTGGCAAGCAAGTCACCGCGGTTAGATAATTACTTTAATTTTACTTTGTCTACTGTCACAAGACCGTCTCTTAGATATGTATCTATTGGGTATCCTGGTAGGAAAACCTTATACTACGCCCCCCTACTATGCCTAGGCCACATCGATGGAAGTACAAGAGTAACAACCACACCCTTACAATTCAACATCAAACAAGCCTCCACAGCTGCATCTTGTAGTCCAGGTAACTGTACTTGATACATGCAGAGTGAAGAGCCTTACATAAGTGGCCCGGAGACAGCCCTGCTGATCTCAATGCATGGCCGGAACCGTCACTACGGACGTGGCGCAGGATGTACAGTAAGTTTTGTCCGGCCCCCCTTCCCTGAGGGCGGAAATAGGTGATTGGATGGTAAGGGTGGTTGCGACGATGGATTACGATGGTCGACTCAGCTTAAGACTGACAGATGGCTGGACCCTGTGTGCCGCAAGGAACCCCAAGGGAGGGTTGGTGAGAAATTACTATCTTTAAAACGTTGCCATGTGTTGGCTCCGTGTTGTCGACCAGGTGAGGGGCCCCAGTTGGATTGTTTGGTATTGGTGCTGCCTTGTCGCCGGAGTTGGAGTTGGCATTGCCACTTTCCAGGCGAGCCACGCTGACAGATGGGAATGGATGTGACGGGAGAAGTAATGAGAAATGAATAAGTCATGAGGGAGTGACAAAAGTTATACAAAGCACACATAGTCCGGTGGTTAGTCATTCAATCGGTGATGAAATAGGGGAGAAGGGTTATGTAACGTCGGTAATCATCGATACCTCAATGCGACATAATAAGTTACCCGGGACGGAGAGATCCCCAGGCCAACAAGGGCCCAACTGGTAACGTACGGTAAGTTGGGGCCTTAGACCTGCCTTAGACTACCAAATACGGCCGTTCCCATACATACTCCCGTGGACATTGTATCGTGCCCATCAACCCAATCGAACAATTAATGCGCCCACCTGTTCCCATTATTATTCCTTTTTCTTTCCCACCCCTTCAAGCTTTTTCTCTTTCTTTCGCATGTTTGTCGGATTCATCCCTAACTTGCGATCTTATCCCTCAAATTTCCCCCAGTCCTCTACTTAAATACTACTACCCTCCCCCGACCCCCAATATCCTTACTTGGTGGTTCTGGAAAGAGGCTAGCCGTGGCCAGCCATTCTGAGCCATCCCCCACCGAGATAGTAGGTCACCTAGTGTGCCCACTGTGTTTTGACCGCTACAACCTCTCGGCCGCTGTCCCTTAAATTTATCGACTTAATTTCCCGGCTGTTTCATACCAGTTTTAAAGCCCCAGAGGCCTTTCTTCTCCTTCCCCTTTCTGGGCCGCTTTGCGTCTTCTGGAATCATTCTACGTTTCTGGTGTGAACCCCATTGTCGGTAATCATGTCGGCGACGCCTCGCAAGCCCAGTACCCCGGGCAATTCCAATAGAAACTCGACTGCAGAAAGTCACACAGCCAGCGGCACTGCATCGCGAACGCACACCCGCTCTCCCAGTGCTTCGACAAACGGCGTCTCCCGTTCCCCGTCCCTCCGTGCTTCGACTCCGGTCTCTGCGCGGGCTGCGGCTCGGAAACCCGGTCGCTCCAACCTGAGCACATCCAGTGCCCCCAAAGTTACGCCCAATCAATCCGACGAAGAGGCCCGGGCCCAGACCGCTGCTCTCATCGATGACCTCAAGGAGCAGTTGCAAAAGGCGGAGACCGCCTCGGAGCAGTATCGCAAGCAGTTGGGTGTCCTCCAGATGCGCCTCGATGAGGCGGTGAGCGAGCAAGGCAAGTTGGAGGACCAGAGCCATGAGAGGGATAGCAAAATTGAGGCCCTGAATGGCGAGATCCGTGACCATGTTCGCCAGATTCGCGACCTGGAACAGGCACACGAATTGGAGCGGAACGCTATGCTGCAGGAAAAGGAGCAGCAGGCGAGTCGTGAAGAAGAGATGCAGGCTACCATCCAACGTCTGAAGGAGTCGCTGGCCCAGAAGGAGCGGGCAAATGCTGCCGATTCGGATAAAAGTGTGTCTCGCTCATGTAAGAAGATCATTTCTTCTTCTCCGTTGTCCTCGTCTAGTGTGAAACCTGCTAACATGCCCCTTATAGCCAGTTTCCGTAACCGGGCATCACCGGATGTCGATGGTCAATTCGCGCCCTCTTCCCAGATCGAGAGAAGCCCTTCCCGCAATAACTCGAAGCTGCTTTTGCAGAAGGATAAGTTGATTGAGTCTCTTCGGCTTGAGCTGGCTGAGTCCCAGATCAAGCTTGTCGAGATGGAGAACAAGGGCGGTGGCAGACAGCGGGAGCTGGAGAAAGAGCTTCTGGAAGCTCGCATGGCGAATGCCCGCTTGATGGAGGATAATGAGAGCTATCAATTACTCCTTAGTGAGAGAACCCTCAATGGTGATTTCACAAAGGGTGACTTCATGCGGGAAGTTCACCCGGACACTGCCGAGGACGTCAAGGAGCCTGGCAGTGGCTTGGGTTCGTTGGCTGACGAGCTAGAATCCGTCGATGCTCGAGCAGAGACAGACAACACCCGCAAGCTGGAGACGGAGATCAAGGCCCTGAAGGACCAGAACAAGGCCCTTACCCTCTATATCGAGCGGATTATCAGCCGCCTCCTGCAGCATGATGGTTTCGAGACCATCCTTGACAAGAATGAAAACGACCCCCCTTCCAAGCCGATGCCTGCGCACAGCAACAAAGAGCTTCCGCCAACACCCCCTGAGAAGGATGATGCGCAGCAGACCTTCCTCCAGCGCGCGAAGTCGGTCGTTGCAGGCCCGAACCCGAACCCTCCTAGGCCTTCGACTCAGCCGCGGTCACGTCCCACGAGCTATATGCCTCCACCCACCAGTGTGCCCACCGCCCACGAGAACCCGCAGACGGCACCTAGCATTCCCCTTCGTGCTGGGTCAATTCGCGGTCACCGCCGCACAAGGTCGGAACAAACGGACGTTGGAGCAGCATCCGTTGTGGGTCAGATGTATCGGGGACGCAACTCGGGTGGTCCGATCAGCCCTACTCTCATGGGACCTGGAAATCGGCAAAGCGCATTCTCTAGCGCGAGTATCATGTCGAGTATGAGTACCGGTGGTCGTGCGCCTTCACTCTCCAGTCAGCCTGAGCACAGCCGGTTGAGCAGTTCGGATAGTATCACGAGCGACCCCGCTGGTGATACGGCATCCACCGGTGCAACCTCCAGCTCTCCCCGCTCTAGCACCGGCATGACCAACTACACTGGGGCTGTCATGACTCAGAACAAACTGCGTCCCCTGCGCCTAGTCAGCGAGACTAAGCTGGCCGAGGAAGAAGAAGCTGCCCGCAAGAAGGCTAATCGGGGCAGTTGGATCCCCTGGTTCAACCGTCCCAACTCTAGCGAGGCCACCCAACCTTCAACCTGAGCGTGTCAGTCTCGTGGAAAATGTGGGGTAAACCCACCCGCCTGCAAATAGG